CCTCCCGGGTTCAAGTGATTCTCCTGCCTCAGCCTCCCGAGTAGCTGGGATTACAGACACGCACCACCGTGTCCAGCTAATTTTTGTATTTTTAATAGATACAAGGTTTCACCATGTTGCCCAGGCTGGTCTCGAACTCCTGACCTAAGTAATCCACCCATTTCGGGCTCCCAAAGTGCTGGGATTATAGGCGTGAGCCACCACACCTGGCCCTGACCACTGTCCTTAGCCATCCCTGGCATACCCTGTGAAACAAGAAAGATTCCAATGTTCCCCAACCCCACCCGACTGATGGACCTCCCCAGGCCAAGGGCATTCCACCGTTAACCTACAAACTAGTTCAGGCCACGGTGGGAAGTGGGGGTCTGACAGGCCTCATTGTACCCTCTCCTCCTTTTGGAATTCAGGCAAAATGGACCAGCATTAACATTAAAACAGAGACCTTAAGACTGAAAGAACAGACTCTTTAAGTCTGACAAGAAATAGTGCCTTTTATTGATTCTATCTGCATAAACTTGGTCTCCACAACGCCTTGTCTTAACCCTGACTTTCCCTGCTATTGATTCTAGGTCTCTAGACAATAACTTAACTCTTTTGACCAATTGTCAGTTGGAAAATTACTGAATCCACCAATGACCTGGACACCCCCCGCCTTTCCGGACCAAACCAATGTACATCTCCCGTGTACTGAGTGATGTCTCGTGTCCCGAACATGTATGAAACCAACTGCACTCCAACCCAAACCAGCTGCACCCCAGCCCCTCGGGCCGCAGGTGTTCTCAGGATCTCCTGGGACGGCGTCATGGGCCTGCCTTCACTCATATTTGGCTCGGAATCACTCTCCAAGTATTTTACAGGATTTTACTCTTTTCCTCGACAGCCCCCAGTGGGCAGCTACTGTTGGGGGCTCCGAGCCCGCCGGCTGCAGGGTATGGGTTCCTCCCAGAGCTTCATGTGCAGACACAAGCGGAGGCAGTGCTTCCAAGCGCGTGGAGTGAGGGCCCTCAAGAACGGCCAACTCCGGGCTTTGCAGCGCGACCCGCAGCGTCCGAGCTGTTGAGGAGTGGTCACCCGAAGAGGCAGCTGGGCTTGGGTGAGAACAGATGTTCCCGGGGGCCTCTTGCTGGGGCTGTTCATGAAACCACCTTTGCAAAAGCTATGATGGTGAATCTGACCTAACCGACTCCATCTTACTTCTAACCTCCAGCCTGTCCTTGTTCTTTCCTGGGTGCAGGTCACACAACTTTGGGAGGATCTTAGTTTATAGTTTAATGTTAAAACAAAGATGAAAACAGCCCTTTCCTGAACAAACTCCCTTCTTGCCTGGGGACCAGACTGCCTTTATAAAACTAACAAAGTAGCCACAAGATTAGAAATTATGGTTTAGGAAACTTCTGGTGGCTTTGAGGTATCGGCGGGAGTGGCCAGGTGGCGGGAGGAACCGTTATGGGAACTGAAGTTGCCGATTAAGCCTGATCAAGATGCCAACCTCCCAAAAGCACTGAGACTTCAGGGCAGAGCCCATGGGGGAAAAGCCAGTGGGGAGCCTGGCCGGGATGGGTGAAGTCCTGGGCAAGAAGCTGGAGGAAAGGGGCTTTGACAAGGCCTATGTTGTCCTTGGCCAGTTTCTGGTGCTGAGGAAAGATGAAAACCTGTTCCGAGAGTGGCCGAAGGACTCGTGGTGCCAACGCCAAGCAGTCCCGGGACTTCGGATGCCTTCGAGAGCATGTGACGCCTTCTTGTGATGCTCTCCAGGAAGCTCTCGATCCCCAGCCCTGATGCAGAGTTTACAGCCGAGCAGGGACTCCTCCCCTGTCCTCTGCAAAGGAAAAGATTGCTACTGTCATACTCACCTCCAATGTACTCTGGGATCTTTTGGGAGTTTTCTCCCCTAACCATTTCAACTTTTTTGGATTCTCGTTCTTGCAGGACTCCCACTTCCTTTTTCCCTTGCCAGTTCCCTGGCGACAGTTACCAGCTTTCCTGAATGGACTCCTGGCCCCGTCCCTCACCCCTACTCTCACTTTCAGTCCATTTGATACCATTTGGCTCTTTTTTGGCAGGACAGTCACTGTCCTTGTAAAGTTCTTTAGATCAAGAAAGTCAGTGGCTTTCATGAAAGAAAAAAAAGTAAAATAAAAAGGAAATTATGGTTTAGGAGTCAGGCAGCTGGAGGCCACGAGATTCTAAACCTCCCCAATTACTCTTAGGGAAAACGTCACTATTGTAAAACCTAAGATTGGTGCTCGAGACATTTTTCGGACTCTGAACTTGGTGGAACAGCCGGTGCCACCCAGATCCGTGAACCGGCTCATCTCGTCTTGTGGCCCCCACTTAGGAAGCACAAAAGGACAGACTCGGCTCCCTGTGATTTCATCTGCAACCCAACCCATCAGGACTCCCCACTTCCCAACCACTACCCACCAAATTCTCCTTTAAAATTTGAGTAGTAATAAAACTCCAGTCTCCCATTCAGCCGGCTCTGCGTGAATTAAACTTTCTGTGTTGCAATTTCTCTCTGTCTTGATAAATCAGCTGTCTCTGGGCAGCAGAATGAGCCTGTTGGGCAGTTACACTCCCACCCAGCCCCCAGTGGCCGAGGGGCTCCACGGGGGAGGCAGCAGAAGGCCAGCGGCTCAGGGAACTGGGGTCCCCAAGGGGATTATGAGCAGTGATTGGCAGGCCAGTCACGGGGAGATCAGATCTGGAGTGAGAAAGTCACAGGGAACCTCCCTGGGTTCCCACATAGTCCCAGCCGATGGCACAACCTCTCCCCATCCCTCTGGCCCAACACAAGTCTGAGCATTCACACCGAGGAGCCAGGAGACACCTGGTGGGAAGTGAAGGCTGGGAGCCTTAAAAACTGCATCAACACAGAGCGTGCCCCCGGCCCCCCCTCGAGGCGCCAGCAGAGTGGGTCCTGCAGCCTGAGGTCTGTGCGCACAGTCTCCAACTAAGGGAGGAGACCACCCCTCATATTGTCTTATGCCCAATTTCTGCCTCCAAAGAAAGGAGTAAAAACTAAAAGGTGGAAATGAAATCCACAGGCAGACAGCCCACTGCCACGCCCTGGGCCTGGTGGTTAAAGATCAACCCCTGACCTAACTGGTTATGTTATCTATAGATTCCGGACAGTGTATGGAAAAGCACTGTGAGAATCCCTGTCCTGTTCTGTTCCGTTCTGATTACTGGTGCTCGCAGCCCCCAGTCACATACCCACTGCTTGCTCCATTGATCACGATCCTCTCACGCGGACCCCCTTAGAGTTGTGAACCCTTAAAAGGGACAGGAACTGCTCACTCGGGAAGCTCGGTTGTTGGAGACGTGAGTCTTGCCGAAGCTCCTGGCTGAATAAACCCTCTCCTTCTTTAACTTGGTGTCTGAGGGGTTTTCTCTGCAGCTTGTCCTGCTACACAACCACACAGTCCAGTGTGATTCAAGGAAGACAGGCTTAAAAAAACTGGGTGGAGATACCGGGCCACATGCTACAGAGGAAACCACGTCCACTGATTTCAACAAAACAGCAACAACAACCCTTGGGAGAAAATATCAGAACTCAAAATGTTTGCAATATATTATCTAAAACGTCTAGTCTTTAGTAAAATGAGACAAGTCCCCAGGCTGGTCTCAAACTCCTGGGCTCAAGCAATCCTCCCACCTAGGCTTCCCAAAGTGCTGGGATCACAGGCATGGGTCACTATGCCTGGCCTGTTGTATATTTTAAATTAATAAAAAGCATAGAATTAGAATGTTAGCACAAAGACATGATATATTCTTGAGGTTATGGATACCCCAATTATCCTGATTTGATCATTACACGTGGCATCCATGTACCCCATGGATATATGCACCTATTATGTACCCATAATAATTAAAACTTTTTTAAAATTAAAAATAAAGGGCCAGGTGCAGTGGCTCACACCTGGAATCCCAGCACTTTGGGAGGCCGAGGCGGGCAAATCACGAGGTCAGGAGATCGAGACCATCCTGGCTAACACAGTGAAACCCCATCTCTACTAAAAATACAAAAAATTAGCCGGGCGAGGTGGCGGCGCCTGTTGTCCCAGCTACTCGGGAGGTTGAGGCAGGAGAATGGCGGGAACCCGGGAGGCGGAGCTTTCAGTGAGCCAAGATTGCATCACTGCACTCTAGCCTGGGCCACAGAGCAAGACTCCATCTCACACACACAAAAAAAATACAAAAATTAGCCAAGGGTGGTAGTGTGCGCCTATAGTCCCAGCTACTAGGGAGGCTGAGGCAGGAGAATCACTTGAATCCGGGAGGCAGAAGTTGCAGTGAGATGAGATTGTGCCACTGAACTCCAGCCTGGTTGACAGAGTGAGACTCCTTCTCAAAAAAAAAAATAAAGAGAGAAAGAGAGAAAGAGAGAAGGAGAGAAAGAAAGAGAGAGACTTATACCCAGAATATAAAACAAACTCTTACAACTCAACGATAGAAAGACAAGCAACCCAACTGAAAAATATTCAAAACATTTGCACAGACATTTCACCATAGAAGATTTACAAATGGTGACTCCACCCCGAGAAGATGCTCAGCACCACTTGTCATTAGGGCGACGTGGACTCAAACCACAGCTACACTCCTATAGGACGGCGTCATGGGCTGTGTCTCCCTAAATCCATAAATTGACGTCATTAGGGCGACACGGACTCAAGCCACAGCTACACTCCTATAGGACGGCGTTATGAGCTGTGTCCCTCCTAAATTCATACTGTGATGTCCTAACCCCTCAGAATGTGACGATGTTTGGAGGTGGGTTTTTAAAGATGTGAGTAAGGTAAAACGAGGTTATTAGGGTGGACCCTAATTCAACAGGACTGGTGTCCTTATGTGAAGAGATTAGGACACACAGATACGCCAAAGGGAAGACCATGTAAAGACACAGGGAGATGTGGCCACCCACAAACCCAGGGAGCGGCCTCAGGAGCTGCTGACAGCTCGATCTCAGACCTCAGCCTCCAGCGCTGAGAGAACATAAATTTTCGTTGTTGAAGCCGCCCAAGCTCTGGCAATTTGTTATGGCAGCCTGAGCTAAGACCGATGGCTAGCATAAGAAGACAAAACCAAGGATCAAGAGTTGGCTGCTGGGCACAGTGGCTCACACCTATCATCCCAGCACTTTGGGAGGCCAAGGTGGGTAGATCACGAGGTCAAGAGATTGAGACCAGCCTGGTCAACAAGGTGAAACCCTGTCTTTACTAAAAATACAAAAATTAGCCAGGCGTGGTGGCACGAGCCTAGAGTCCCAGCTACTTGGGTGCCTGAGGCAGGAGAATCATTTGAACCTGGGAGGGGAGGTTGCAATGAGCCAAGATTGCGCCACTGCACTCCAGCCTGGCGATAGAGGGAGACTCTGTCTCAAAATAATAATAATAATAATAATAATATCAAGAGTCGGTGAGGATGTGGAGAAACTGGAGCCCTCCTACACTGCAGGTGGGAATGTAATATGGTACGGCCACTTTGGAAAACACACTTTAGCATTTTCTTTAAAAGTTAAATGTCAACTTCCCATCAAATTTGGCAATTCCACCCTTCAGTATCTACCCAAAAGAAATAAAAGCACACGTCCACCACGACTGGAACGAGAATGTTCATCACAACATTATAAGCAGCTGACAAACTGGAAGGAGTTCATGTGGACGAATGGATGAAACCTGGATAATCCATGGGTTAATAATGGCCAGGCGCAGTGGCTCACACCTGTAATCCTAGTACTTTGGGAGGCCAAGGGCAGTGGATCACCTGAGGTCAGGAGTTCAAGACCAGCCTGGCCAACATGGTGAAACCCCGTCTCTACTAAAAATACAAAAAATTAGCCGGGCGTGGTGGCGGCACCTGTAGTCCCAGCTACTCAGGAGGCTGAGGCAGGAGAATGGCTTGAACCCGGGAGGCGGAGCTTGCAGTGAGCCGAGATCACGCCACTGCACTCCAGCCTGGGCGACTGAGCGAGACTCCGTCTCAAAACAAAAAAAAAATTCCTGGCCCTTTGAGGGGCTTACAACTCCAAGGGGTCCACGTGAAAGGGTCGTGATAGATCAAGCAAGCATGGGGAATGTGACTGGGGGCTACATGCATCAGCTAACAGAACAGAAAGTGGTGCAATGCTTCCTCATACAATGTCTGGAATTTACAGATAACACAAGTAGTTTAAGTCACGGATCGATGTTACTATTTTACTTTAACTACCAGGGCTGGGTGGTGGCGCCAGGCTGTCTGGCTATTTATCTTACTGTTGTTTCTTTTTAACTTTCTACTTTCTTTTTCTCCTGTCTTATAAACTAGGCAAGGAGTGGAGGGCAGCAGGAGAAGTAGTGGTCTCCTTCCTCAGGATGTATGTGTCAGGTGTGTTTGTGAGGTGTGTTAGGTGTATGTGTGAGTGTCTGAGGTGTGAGGAGGGGTACGTGTGAGGTGTGTGTGGCGTGAGGTGTGTGTGGCGTGAGGTGTGTGTGTTCGGGTGTGTGTGGTGTTTCTGGGGTGTCAGATGTGTGGGGGTGTGTCTGGGGACGTGTGTAAGGTGTGTATGTCCGGGGTGTGTTTCAGGTGTGTGTAAGATGTGTGATGTGTGTATGGTGTGTGTGAGGTGCATGTGTCTGAGGGGTGTGTGGAGTGTGTATGGGTGTGGTGTGTGTGAGTTGTATGTGAAGGGGGCCTGCCCCTCGTATTTCTCGTCAGGTGGAGACATGAGACTGAGAAAAGAAATAAGACACAAAGTATAGAGAGAGAACAGTGGGCCCAGGGGACCGGCACTCAGCATACGGAGGGCCTGCACTGGCGCTGGTCTCTGAGTTCCCTCAGTATTTATTGATTACTATTTTCACTGTCTCAGCAAGGGGAGTGC